TGCTCTTTTTCTTTTCTTTTTTTCTTTTTCCTTTTTTTCCTTTTCTTTTTTCTTTTTCTTGCCAGGGGTGTGGAGGGGTGTTCGGAGTGCATTGACTAAACGAGCCTGGATGCCACCTAACAAGCCTGAAGAAAAGAACGAGACAAACAAAAAAGCAAGGAAAGAAGAGAAAGGTGCAGGGGGGGGGGGGGGGGGGGGCAGGGCGTGCGTTGACTAAACGAGTCTGGATCACACCTAACAAGCCTGAAGGAAAGAACAAGACAAACGAAAAGGCAAGGAAAAACAAGAAAAGGTGCAGGGGGTGCGGGGTGGGGTGGATGCTTTTACGAGCGAACGGCACGGGCCCGTAGGCACTGGCCGAGAAGCCGAAATCGGCGCTAAAGTTAAAAGTTGGAACGTCTCCTGGGGTGAAATCGTATTCTGATGGGACGTACAGTGGACTCTGCAGTAAAGCTTCACGTGTGCCGGGTGAAACGTTTCAGACAATCTGACTTCGAGTAGGAAAATTCGATCATGAAATTTGTAGAGCACTCGGGTATTGTACTCCTGGGATGAGGAGAAGAATTGTGTTGTGTTTTTGGGCTTGTTCTTCTAGGTTCTAAAATATTTGAAAAAAACAATAAAAAAGCAAAAACAACCCAAAACAAAAATGCAAAGAAGACACGCACTGCCTAACAAAATGCAAAAAAATGCAACCCTAAGTGCAAGCTCTCTGAGGTGACAACCACTTACCAGCAGAAGAATTGGCTGTTCAATCTCAACCCACTGGGATGAAAAGAGCCCAAGCAATCCCAAACGTGATTTGGTAACACTAGTTGAACGGTAGAAAATTTTATTATGCGCTCGCTAGAATGGATGCCCCTACTAGCCGCCGAGCCGTCTATATGGAGTGTAGGACCTAGGAGTTTATGATGGCCGCGCTAGGAAGACCTCAACCCTATAGACTGCAGACTTCGAGACCCCAGGTAGGCCTAGGGCCTCTAGTCCACAAAGATGGAGGAAGGAAAGCCGAAAGCCAGCACTTTATTTCGCGTTTTTTTTGCACTTCAATTTTGGCAGGTCTACCCCCCCACACTTTCGGCGCATTGTTTTTGCACTTTTTTTTTTTTTTCG